ATCCCCGGGCTCCGATCCAGCAAAGCTTCGAGGATGAGTTCCGTCAGCACGACGGCATGGTGACGATGATGATGTTCTACCGGCGCAGGGCTTCGCCTAAACTCCGCGACGATATGACCGAGGTGGAATATGGTGGAGGGGGCACCGCACACGGCTAAGGAACGATCCGTAGATCAACTTGTGTGTTCTGGGGTGCCCCTCTGCCCCCGTATATAAAGAAGCAAGGGGGAGGCCGGCCGGCCCTTGTGGGCGCGCCAAGGAGGAGGAGTCCTCCTCCTAGTAGGAGTAGGACTCCCCCTTTCCTACTCCTACTAGGAGGGGAAAGGAAGGGGGAGAGGGGGAAGGAAAGAGGGGGGCGCCGCCCCCCCCCCCTCCTAGTCCAATTCGGACCAGAGGGAGAGGGGGCGCGCGGCCCACCCTGGCCGCCCCTCTCTCTTTCCACCAAGGCCCATGTGGCCCATTATCTCTCCCCAGGGGGGTTCCGGTAACCCTCCAGCACTCCGGTTTTCTCCGAAAACGTCCGGAACACTTCCGGTGTCCGAATATAGTCGTCCAATATATCAATCTTTATGTCTCGACCATTTCGAGACTCCTCGTCATGTCCGTGATCACATCTGGGACTCCGAACAAACTTCGGTACATCAAAACTTATAAACTCATAATAAAACTGTCATCGTAACGTTAAGCGTGCGGACCCTACGGGTTCGAGAACTATGTAGACATGACCTAGAACTATTCTCGGTCAATAACCAATAGCGGAACCTAGATGCCCATATTGGTTCCTACATATTCTACGAAGATCTTTATCGGTCAAACCGCATAACATTATACATTGTTCCCTTTGTCATCGGTATGTTACTTGCCCGAGATTCGATCGTCGGTATCTAATACCTAGTTCAATCTCGTTACCGGCAAGTCTCTTTACTCGTTACGTAATGCATCATTCCATAACTAACTCATTAGCTACATTGCTTGCAAGGCTTATAGTGATGTGCATTACCGAGAGGGCCCAGAGATACCTCTCCGACAATCGGAGTGACAAAACCTAATCTCGAAATACGCCAACCCAACATGTACCTTCAGAGACACCTGTAGTACTCCTTTATAATCACCCAGTTACATTGTGACGTTTGGTAGTACCCAAAGTGTTCCTCCAGTAAACGGTAGTTGCATAATCTCATAGTTACAGGAACATGTATAAGTCATGAAGAAAGCAATAGCAATATACTAAACGATCAAGTGCTAGGCTAACAGAATGGGTCATGTCAATCACACCATTCTCCTAATGATGTGATCTCGTTAATCAAATGACAACACATTTCTATGGTTAGGAAACATAACCATCTTTGATTAATGAGCTAGTCAAGTAGAGGCATACTAGTGACTATATGTTTGTCTATGTATTCACACATGTATCATGTTTCCGGTTAATACAATTCTAGCATGAATAATAAACATTTATCATGATATGAGGAAATAAATAATAACTTTATTATTGCCTCTAGGGCATATTTCCTTCACATTGGACCTCTTCCCAGCGTAACCACGGCTTCCGAGGTGGTGGCACCCCATGTTCCTCTCTTGGAGCCCCTTCAAGTACTCCAACTTTTCTTTGGCAGCTTCGGCAACGCAAGCCGCCTTGAATATTTCAAACTGCTTTTCAGTATATGTGAATTATCCTTTACAATCTCGGAGTAGGGTTCCTCTTTGTCGATGATCTTATGCTTCACCCTTACTTTTCAGGCGGGCAACACACTGCTAAACTTGCTCATGGCCCGTTTGTTTATCTTCTTCATTGCCAGGTCTTTATCTGGATCAATATATTTGATTTCATCCCGGCCCGGGAACAAGAATACCTAGTGCAGCTTAGTTAGGAGGGACTGCTTCATATCTGGTATCTTTTTTAGTTTCTCATCATTGATGGTGGCGGTTGCCCATAGGATGCAGCCTATTTGATTGTCGTAGCACGCGTGCGCTTCCGCTGGCTCTTTTTGCTCAAAATTGTCATCGTCCACCTCCATGACCTCTTTGGTGATGAGCTGGTTTGGGCGTTGTTGCCTCTTTGGTTTTGGTTCTATACCGGCTTCGCCAGTCTCGATGCCGGTCTCGGCGCCAGTGTCAGTCTCAGCACCGGTCTCGATGTCGGTCTCAGTCTCGGATGTGACAGGTGGGCCCTACAACAACCGTTGTTCATCGAGAAGGTTCAAATGGGCGCCTGCTGCCGCGTAGACGTTGCAATCACCAGAACCATGTCCTTCATTGTTGTTAGCCATGTTTCCTACAATTAAATCTAGTCAATTAATTCTAGACCTAATAAAATGAATAATGACATAAAAAAGGGCAATTTTTACAGGAATGTTGATTCATTCCCATTGTGGCAAATCTCGGGCACTCGATATGTCCTAGTTTGTAGCACAAGTCATGCCAAAATTCATGGAAAATTTCGGCATGACCTTTGCTACAAACTGGACAAATAGAGCGCCTGAAATTTACCGAAACAGAAATGAATCAACATTCCGGCAAAACAAAGGCCACTCGGAATCATTCCCTGCAAACAATAAAAGGCCACTTGGGCACAATCGAACCACTTCAATGTTGCATATAACAAGACCACTTAAGAACTTGTACATGAGCAACTACAACAGTAGATATACATGAGAAAACACTATTGAGGAATTTGCATATAACCTGACCACTTCAAATCTGCATCTCCTAGTGTTTGACACTTAAAGAAAATCTACACAAATTTCATGCTCTCTCAAACTCAATTCAAAAACCAAATATAGATGGATGAACCCTAGAAACCTAGAACCTTTACATATTTCTGTCCTAATATAAATTATGAACCCTAGAACTCAATTTTTGTCCTAAATTTCATATTATGAACCCTTGAACTCAATTCAAATTATGTCCTAAATTTCTGTCATAATAAAAAAATCAGTACAAATTAAGAACCTACTGGACTTGTAGCACTAATAGAAATTTATATTTTTATATAAAAAAATTTGCTAACTAAACACTAATGCCCTAATTAACATCTAATACAAAAACTAAGTTAGAAGAAAATTCAGTTAACTACTAATAGAACAAAATTCAGTTAACTTTAGTGCTCTATAATGATGAAATGAAAAAAAATCAGTTCACTACTAATTTCATTCATTTAGGTCATTCATTTAACTTCACCTAATTAACCTACTGTACCACTACTACTAGCAGCACTACTAACCTAATTAACCTAGTAAAACCCTACTTCCCTAACTAAAAAACAACTAATTGACATCTACTAGTACCACTACTGCCCTAACCTAATTAACATCTACTAGTACCACTATATATACTACTAGCAGCACTGCTGCAACATTTTCTTCATTTTGTTCTTTTAAAAAAACATCTATGAAAACAAAAACCATAATTAAACCCTACTTCCCTAACTAAATTTTTGCTCTAAACCCTACTGCGCTAGTTAAACCCTACTGTCCTAACTAAACTTTTGCTCTAAACTAAATTTTTGCTCTAGCCTAGCCAACCTAGTTACCTAACTAGTTAACCTAATGAACCAAATTAACCTAGCTAGTTCACTTAGTTACTTAACCTACCTAGTTAACCTACTTAACCTAGCTAATTCCTAGGGTTCATAACTAAATTCACCTAAGTAAATTAACCTAGACAGGAGGGGTGGGAACTCACAGAGAGGGTGCTCGGGGGAACGGTTGCGGGGAGGTGCTCGGGGGAGACGGTGGCGCGGAAGGCGTCGGGGGTGGCTCCGGTTGCGTCGACGGCGGCTCCAGTGATGGCGAGGGAGGCAGGGGCGTCGAGGGAGGCAGGGGCGACGAGGAGCGCACGAGGGTGTCTCAGGGGTGTCGAGGGCGTGCAACTCTGGTGGCGGCTCCAGTGACGGCGACAGAGGCATGGACGGCGAGGGAGCAGGGGCGGTGAGGGGAGCAGGGGCGGCGAGGGAGAGGTAGGGGAGACGCGAGAAGAATGGGGAATTGGGGGAAGGAGGAACGCCCGCGCAGGGCAAGTCAAATTTAGTAGTAGCGCTTTTTCCCGACAAGCGCTATAGCTACTTAGCTATAACGCTTTCTGATGGAACGCGCTACTGCTATAGATAAGTTGGCTATAGCGCTTGTTCGTGAAAATGCGCTATAGCTAAAGTAGATATAGCGCTTCCTTGAAAACGTGATGTTGTTATTGCTTACATTTTCTCTTTTTCTTTAATTTTCCTTTTCTTTTTTTCCTTTCTTTTCCTTTTCTTAGTTGTAGTACTGTCGCCTTAAAACGCGCTGCTACTATTTTGTTAGCAGTAGCGCGGTTCTTAAAAGGGCGCTACTACTATACCAAGCCTGGCGGCAACAGTGTAACAGTTACAGTAGTAGCGCTTTTTATGAAGGACGCGCTACTACTATTTATGTAGCAGTAGTGTGCTTTCTCAGGCCGCACTTCTGTTAGATACCAGTAGCGTCGTGTTTTAACCGGCATTACTAATAAGTCTTTGTGTATAAGCTTTTTCCTAATAGCGATAAACTATTAACCGGAGCGGCAGGCGGAGGGGATGAATCCACGGGCTCCAGGTGAAGTTTAATGTTGGGAATAATTGACGTGGGTCAAAATCAAACGATGTGTTTTAGACCATACTTATTGACCTAGGGCAGTGTAATGTTTTTTTATTCTATTAATGTAACACATGTGCATATTTGCTAGTCCTGTAAAAAAGCATACAACTCCGGAGTCGTACTCCCTCCGTTCGGAAATATTTGTCGGAAAAATGAATGTATGGAGGGAGTACGAATTAGTTTGGGCATTTGACACCGGAGTTATGAGCAGATCACTTTACTAAAACGCAGCAAGGGATCGAGTCACAAGGCATGGGGCGCCCACATTTGACACGCACACAGTGCACATTATCTTCTTTTTTTCGAACGGAGTGCACATTATCTTTGAGTTGTTCTGAAGTTGAGTGAAAGGCATGGAGAACTATATCTTGCTTCAGCTACCAGTACTCAATACTGGCTCCTGTGCACCTGAAACAGCACGAGAAGCAAGATCCAGAAGTTCTCATCAGTCAGCGATCAAATGCAGAAACACAAGAAACCAAGAAATGTGTTTGTGTTGTCAAGTTGTGATCCAATCATGGTCGCGCACCTCGAATCCGACCATGGAGCGGCTGTAACCGACGGTGGTAGCGGCGGTGAGGACGGAGCTCGTCGACCCGCACTCGCTCTCATGGAGCGACGCGCTGGACCGGTCCAGCTTCACCGACCACGGGTAGTGCTGTGCGTACATGGCGGCCGCCGACGATGGCATGGGCACGCCGACGTGCGACGACGACCGCTGCATCTTGACGCTTCTCGGCAGGGGTGCCGGGCCACCGCGGCGCCGGCTCGGCTGCCGCTCCAGCGGCGACGGCGAGTCGGGCCTCTGCTTCGGCGCGCTCTGGGACCGGGCCTTGGCGCGCGAGGACTGGGTGTTGGCCATGTAGTTGGGGAAGAACTCGGACGCGGACTCGCCCTCGTCGGCGTAACCTGCCGGCACGTACGCGCTGACACGCGCCGTCGCCGGCTCGAAGTCCTCGAAGTGCCCGCTGTAGGCGCGTGGGCTCGTGATCTCGGTGAACGCCGCCGACGGCGCTGGCGAGCACTGGCCGGGGCCGTAGTACTCGGCTCGCCGGCGCTCTGCCGACCAAGGCTCGCTCGCCGCGACCGAGCAGCTGCTCCGCCCCCGCCGCGGCGGCTCCCCCATGTCCATCTCGACGATCTTGGCATGCTCCTCGCCGGACCTGTCCATCTCCTGCATGCACCAGCCACACATTCCCTGATTCAACCATGTCGGCCTGCACGATCTCACTCACGGTACCACTAGCGATCGCGTGCGGGCTTACGTAGGAGCGGCGGCGTCTGGGGTGCTGCGGGGACCGGCGGTCAACAGGGGCAGCGGCGGCAGCGTGGTCTTCCTCCTCGAGCATGCGCATGCGCTGCGCGCGCACGCGGGTCTGCGCCATGAGGAGCGCCTGCATGCGGCGGAGCGTGGCTCTGGCCTGCTTCCTCACCAGGTGGCCCCTGATCAGCGCCTGCAGCTTCACCAGACCTCTCAGCGCGCACAGAGCCTTCCTTGCCTGCACTAGCACGTAACATGCTCAGCTCAAATCAGAAAAGAAATGCTTCTGTTTCTGCAGAATTTGTTCAATTGCAGCGACATTTGATTTAACGTGCATTGCTAAATCAGGAGTACAGTTGTATTAACATTGTGTTTTAACTGAGCTAATCAAATGAAGATGGATGGAGTAACACATTATCAAACTTGTTCGCGTCAACAAGGCAAGCTCACCAGGTAGCCTCTGAAGGTGGCCTGGATCCTTGCGGCCGCGGCCTCCTGGACAGGGGTGGCATACAGGTTGAGGTCGTCCTCCGCCTCTGGGGCCGTCAGGTGTATCACCGCGGCATCGGCGGCCGCCATGGTCACCGCCACGGCGTGCTTGCTCTGCTCAAGCTCGCGCTCGGACACCGACACCGACAGACCGCCTGCTTCCTGGGCCAACGGCGACGGTGCGGCGGCGGGCTTGACCGCCGCCGCAGGCCGCCGGAAGCTCCATCGCCTCTTCTCCCTCGGGCTCGCGGCCGCCGGCAGCTCGGCCAAAGGCGCCGAGTCACACTGTGACTGCCCCCGCTTGCCGCCTCTCCTGCCGCCATCCCTTTTCCCGGCCAAGATGCTCCTCAGCCACCTCCCAGCCTTCCCCATTGCTACCACCTTCGATGAACCGCCCTCACCCACAACAGAGCCGACGGACCGAACTATATTATAGCCCCCGGCGACAGAGAAGCCTGCTAGGCATTGCAAGCGCCATCACCAACCAGCCAACCACCCCGGCCGCGCCGCGCGAGCTTGGAACAGTGGCACAACGTGTCAGTCAACCGACGGGAGCCGCCGAGCAATGGCATTGGCGCCCGGTCGGCGAGCGCATGTGCGGGCGGGACGGGAGGAACGTGGTGAGCTTCCCTACAAAGGCTGGCTGTCTGTCAGAATCTTTCGCCTTTAAACAAACGCAGCAAGTGAGTGCACTGTACTCGGAGAGCTGAGCTCAGATCAGCCAGAGCTGGCCTGCCGGGGTCCATGTCAATCATGGATCATTGTCTCATGCATCACGATGACGAGGCGCTGGGGCTGCTTGGCTCCCCGTGACGTGAATCTGGAACAGTCGCTCGGGCTTTGATGTGCAGTTGCAGGCAGCCTCCAGGGTCCATGCTTTCTTCTGGGTCATGATCCAAAACCTACTACAAATGATGATGCATATTTTTTTTCCTTGGACAAAGCAATGGTTCTGAACTGGTTGAAAGATTTGGAGAATATTTGCCACACTTGGGCTTTTCCATTACATGTCAATATATAGACAAATTTACAATCCTAACCATAAATGGGAGATCACAACAATATCGATACTCCTCGATTTAGGGGATTAGGAGATATGTCACGATACGTGACATATTAGTCTAACACTCCCCCGCAGTCACAACGGGAGGAGAGCGGACGTTGAGACTGGACCGAAAATCCAGAAACAACGGCGACGGGAGGCCCTTCGTCAAGATGTCGGCAAACTGGCGTGACGAGGGAACATGCAGCACACGGACCTGACCCATGGCAACACGATCGCGAACGAAGTGGAGATCGATTTCGATGTGTTTGGTACGCTGATGCTGAACGGGGTTGGTGGACATGTAGACGGCGCTGACGTTGTCGCAGAAGACGATCGTCGCAGGAGGAGATGGTCGATGAAGCTCCTGGAGAAGTTGTCGAAGCCAACTCGCCTCAGCCACGGCGTTAGCCACGGCGCGGTACTCGGCTTCAGCGCTCGAGCGCGAGACCATGTGTTGTCGCTTGGAGGACCAAGAGACGAGATTATCTCCGAGGTAGACACAGAAGCCTGACGTCGAGCGCCGAGTGTCAGGGCAGCCGGCCCAGTCGGCGTCGGTGTAGGCAATCATGGAGTCCGGTGTAGTCGAGTAGAGCTGAAGGCAATGAGAGAGCGTGCCCTTGACGTAGCGCAAGATGCGCTTGATGGCCGCGAGGTGCTGTTCACGTGGGTCGTGCATATGAAGACAAACTTGCTGAACGGCGTACGCGATGTCGAGGCGCGTAAAGGTGAGGTACTGGAGAGCTCCAGCAAGACTCCGGTACTCTGTGGGATCGGCCACGGAAGAGCCGGCAGTAGCGGCGAGCTTCGGCGAGGTGTCAACCGATGTCGAGGCTGACTTGCAGGCAGTCATGCCGGCCCTGTCCAGAATCTCCGCGGCGTACTTAGCTTGCGAAAGATGCATGCCGAAGGAGTCGCGGGTGACCGCGATGCCGAGGAAGTAGTGAAGGCTGCCCATGTCCGTCATGGCAAACTCTGCTCGGAGAGAGGTCGTGATCCTGTCCAACAAGCGGGTCGATGAGGCGGTGAGGACGATGTTGTCCACGTAGAGCAGGAGGAAGGCCGTGCCTTCCGCACACCGGAGAACGAACAACGAGGTGTCCGAGCGGGAGCACACGAAGCCGGTCGAAGTGATGAAAGTCGCGGAGCGCTGGTACCACGCACAGGGAGCCTGCTTGAGACCGTATAGAGAACGGTTCAGCCGACAGACGTGCTCGGGGCGACTGGAGTCGATGAAGCCGGTGGGTTGTCGACAGTAGACAACCTCAGCAAGAGTGCCATGTAGAAAGGCGTTCTTGACGTCGAGATGACGAGTCTCCCAGTTAAGAGTGAGTGTGATGGAGAGGATGACACGCACGGTGGCCGGTTTGACAACCGGGCTGAAAGTCTCGTCGAAGTCGACACCGGGCTCTTGAGAGAAACCCTGAAGCACCCAGCGAGCTTTGTAGCGATCGAGGGAGCCATCGGGCTGGAGCTTGTGGCGAAAACCCCACTTGCCGGAGATGATGTTAGCATCCCGAGGAGGGGGCACAAGATCCCAAGTGTTGTTGCTGAGGAGAGCGCGGTACTCCGCAGTCATAGCATCGAGCCAGTTGGGATCCTTGAGAGCTGCACGGACGGAGGTGGGAACCGGCGAGTACTTGCTGACAGAGGGAACATGCAGGTTAAGCCGCTCGCGAGGGCCCTTGTGGATGCCGGAGGTGCTGCGCGTGCGATGAGTGGGTGGGGCGCCTGGTTCGGGAGGAGCATCCGGTGAGG